GGAGCGTTACCGCCACGCCACCAACTGATATGGGTGCCGGGGCATGAGGGTATTGCTGGAAACGAAACAGCAGACCAGTTGGCCAAGATCGGACCTGAACCAGCCTGTGGCATCTCTATAGGACTTGCCAGACAGGCAGTCAGGGACTGGACAAACATTAAGCATAAGAAATACTGGGGATCCTTGACTGGACTCAGGCAAGCAAAGGGACTCATATGGGGACCCTCTACTAAAAGAGCGAAGGAACTGTTGAAGTTAAACAGGAACCAGCTACGATGGGTGGAAGGACTACTTACAGGACACTGTCACCTTAAAGGACACCTCTTCAAGTTGGGACTAAGTGATGGTCCCACTTGTGAGAGGTGTCAAGAAGAAAATGAAACAGCCACACATATCCTGTGTGAATGTGAGGCCTTAGCTTATTTAAGACTACGTCACTTGGGTCAATATTTTATGGAACCAAGTGACTATTTCGACGTCCCCACGTACAAAATCCTACGCTACATTCGAAACGTAGGTTTGCTGAGGGGATAATCAGAAGGGGAAGCACAAGAGGTCACTGTGGTCGCGGTGCAAAGACCAAGAAGGCCCACGCCTTATACATTCATACCGCCACGCCAGCCTGCTCAGTGAATCGTGTAACTGAGAGACTTGTGCCTATTGTCTGAAGATACCTTCTGCCTATAGTTTCAGAGCATAAGCAGTTTTCTGTCCTGAAGATGGAAGCTGCAGCTTCCCTCAAAACGTTTTCTTTATTCTTAATGGGGTGAGACTGAGTCCACTTGACTGGCCTACTGTACCAGCCCCAGCCGATAGATGATGGTGATCGTGGAGCAATTGGTGGAATGAAGATTGGCAGGGGAAATCGAAGTACTCGGAGAAAACCTGCCCCAGCGCCACTTTGTGCACCACAAATCTTCCCTCAAAACGTTGGTAACAACTCTACCAAGACGATGGAGGAGACAGGTTCCTCTGAAACAATGGTGACACTGTACCAGACTACACGGGTTCATGTCCCATAAGACCGAATTGAAAGCCTCATATCTGCGCAGTATTTAGGCCGGTTGGCACGGTTGGCCGGGGAAGTGAGTGACGTCACGCAGCGCTGTGTGGTGCACTTGTGTTGAGAACGTAGCAGCCCCTACAGACCATGCAGCAATGTGCACATGGCTCTGCGGTGTGCAAATGTAAGAAAATAATTCTCATTCACTGAACGACCCCCTCGCCCGCTGCAACTAGTGGTCACTCTACATGCTTTCGGCTGCTGTCAGCTTCGAGCCCAGGCTGGGGCACCAGCTATCCTAACTGACGTCTTTCGTGGATTTCCTCACGTTCCTTCCCAATCCCTTCCAATTCATCAGTCATCCGAATCTATACAGTCTTGATGATGACAGCGACGTCAAACAGCCGGGTAAAGACATGAGCAACAGTTCCACAGTCTTCCATTTGGCACCATTACAAGTTGCGTTTCCTTGCCGCCTTTCCCTTCCTTTACTACCTTCTAAGTCACGGCGCATGCAACTGGCGCACGGCTAAGTCGCCAGTTCTGGTGAAAACATCGCGTCGCCCACACAAACACCTGCCATCTCTGGCAAAGCGGGTTACGCGCACGACACAAATGGCGCCAACTGCTGCAGACACCAGCGGGCAGATATGTCGGACTTAAGGAGTAAGGCAAGTAAGAAATCAGGAAACGAAAACAAGCGTCCTAAAGCTGGCTTTCTATTCGACCTGAAGATGGAGGAGATTAATCCTCCGAAACACCAGACTCTCTGCTATAACCACCGCAATGGGGACGTCAGATGCGACGCTAACAAGTTCTCAGTCTTATGTGCGTTTTTTTCGGGACGCGAAGCGTAAGCTTCAAGGCACCCGCCTACAAGACTTCACAGCGTCACGACCCAGAGGACTGGGGATTACTTCACGGCACTGTCAGTATCCAGAATACCAAACTATACAACACTATAATTTTGCCTGTGGTTCTGTATGGGTGTGAAAGTTGGTCTCTGTCATTAAGGGAGGAACATAGACTGAGGGTGTTTGAGAACAGGGTGCTGAGGTGAATATTTGGACCGAAGAGGGATAAAGTGACAGGAGGCTGGAGAAAACTGCGTAAGGAGGAGCTTCATAACTTGTACTCTTCTCCAAGCGTAATTAGAATGATCAAGTCAAGGAGGGTGAGGTGGGCAGGGCATGTAGCATGAATGGGGGAGACGAGGAGTGCATATAGGATATCGGTGGGAGAGCCAGAAGGAAAGAGACCACTGGGAAGTTCTGCACTACGTGGGATGAAAATATGAAAGTTGATCTTAATAAAGCAGAATGGGATGGTATGGACTGGATTGATCTGGCTCCGGGTGAGGACCAGTGGAGGGCTCTTGTGAACGCGGTAATGAACCTTCGGATTCCATAAAACGCTGGGAAGTTGTTGAGTAGCTGAGCGACTGGCGGCTTCTCAAGAAGCCGAATGACGCAATGAGTGCTGAATGAGCGAGGCGGGCGTGGCATAATTTGAGGCAGCGTTCTAATATTTTCCGGTAGAGACTGAGGTTAACCATTCTCTGAGACGAGATCCGAACCAGAGACTTCAAAAATACGAAGGATTGTTTTACTTTCTCGAGTCCGACATTTGGTTAGACATCAGCAGACAGGACGTAAGGCGCCTTGACTAATTTTGTGTTCACACAAATGCAGAGGTCAAATTAGTTTTAAACAAACACTTGTTCGCCTTTCAATAAAGCTCAGTTTTCCATCTAAGTTCCACAGTGCTGTAGCTCTTAGTGACGATATCCAGCACAGCACTCCACACTTTTCCTTTACTTGCTGACGTCCTTACAGGCGCGCTGCTAGGCTAATGACAATGTCATTTATAGGACAGATAAAAACTGCAATAAATTCCGCCACATTGAAGATCTGAGAAACAACATTCATTCATTTTTTTATTAATTTCAATCAAAACTGCTGCAGCGCCCATCGAGAATACAACCGGAAGTCCCACTATTTGTTGTACAAGCTGGCATACTAACAATTCCCCATGATTTCCCGCATTCAATTTCCGCTCCAACACGGTAGCGAATGATACGTCAAGACCGACGTTTAACGCCATATCCCATGAATAACGGGCACAAATACGCAATCGTAAACTGTCTCATTTATATTGTGTGCTGCACTTCATACATCCACACCAAAACATTATCAGTTTTCTAAGAACGGATACAAAGAAAACCAAAAGACTGCTCGCTCGTTCGTGATATATTACATAAATAACGTTCATGTAAATTGCTAACAATTCGTTATTGTGTGGCAGCCAGAAACTGTCATTTCAGAGAGATATTTAATTACCCACTTGTATTTGTACTGAAGAAGGAGGCAGTATTTTCCTCTGAAACGATGGTACCCGCGTACCAGACTACACGATGTCATGACCTAGAATAGCAAAACCTAAACAATCATACACAATTGGTCTCCTTCACAGAGACCCACTTTTACTCTTCAGGGCAACAGCAGCATTAGTCAGGGGAAGGCCTTCCCAGTGCCTGTGACCGTAACAAAGGATGTTCTTGGATTACAGCAGGGATATATAAAAGTCGGCCCGCGAACCTCATTCGGCCCGACAACACCTGCAAACCGGTCCGTGGCAACATATTCAAAAAGCAAGAGAGCTTTGTGTTTTGTGCGTACATTTAGACGGTAAGGTAAAATGTAAATCTGTCCCTCTAGTTAACCAATTAAGCACTACGCCATGAAGACGTATGGGGGAGTGGGTGTACAGAACCATGTACTCTTGACCTCGGAATTCGTTCGAGGTTGAGTGGTCAGCTAGTGTACATGGATGTGTGTGGGCAGTAAACACCATCCAGTGGCAAAGGTTGAGAATACATGGAACTATGCCTCCACTCCTCCATGCCGTGATTCTTAATTAAACACTAGACCAAATGTATCTCCGGGCTTTACGTCACAATTTAATCTCGGCTGTTGACAAAAGTCGCTAAGTGTCCTAACACAACCCGGACAAACGGAGCAACATTAGCAGCTTTGGGGCCCGTGTAATTCTACGGGCAGAAGGAGGAGGGGGCACCGCAGGAATTGCATTGGGTTCGAGAGCATCACGATGGCTTCTATGTACTGCACAGTCTTCCGAGATGTGACGCCGCGTAGTCTGGTAGGTTCTAACCCTGAAGACGGAGGCAGCAGGTTCCTCCGAAACGCTGATACCTCTATACCAGGCTACATGACGTCACATCCCAGAAGACAGTAGACAGAACGAGTTAGAAGCGGCCGTGGCCTATATAAGGTATCCCGGCATGCATCTGGAGGGACTGGAAAAAGACACGAGCAGCCTCACTCAGGCGAGCCGGTGTCCCGGCAGAGAACTTCTCGAATACCGCTACGCTAACCCCCTCGGTTCTACTGTATTATGAAACAAGAAGTTTCAGCGCCGTTACAACAGAGCCCCCCCCCCAAAAGCACTCGCGTGAAGTTCTTTCTAATGGAAAATCTTGCAATTCTACGGGGTAGCTTTTCGGGCAGCAAATGTCCACCTACCAGACTACACGGCATGCGTCAGTTCGCAGCTGGTGACGTGTCCAAAGAAGGAGTTTGAAAGTGATGAAGGGAGCACAACTGTTGCAGGTTTCTAACCGCCAACGTCGCCCTACACACGCTTGCAGAACAGTCCCACTTCCGCTATGTAGTGCAGGAAGTCGAGTGCACAGGAGTCGTCACCAAATCCGAACGTCACGTAACAAATAAACGTTATAATAGACCCAGATATAGAGGGTTCAGGGGGTTCAGTCCCTGAATACTTTATGTCGGATTGGTGGAGGGCACAGGGGCACTGTGGTCCCGTCGTCATCCCATCCATCATCAGGGACTTGTGCAATGGGGCCCATATAAGGCCCCACTACCACGGGACTCAGCCTCAACCCTCTCCCACAACCAAAGTAAAGCTACAGGACGTGTGAGTTTACCCTAATCCTAGGCAGCTTCGGTCCACTTACCCGCCTGTACCCTGCAGCCCGCTGTTGGGTATCCTCAAGTCAGGGCAACTCGTTCTGAAGGCACTTCTAGGTACCGCGCGTTTCAGCCGTTCCACACAGAACCCAAGTGGGCGAGTGTCACAGTGTAAGTACACAGAACCAATCCGCAAATGTTCACAGTTCTATCATCGTGATACTGCAGGACCGGGGTTCGATTGGTCCCACTGCACCTGGTATCTCGGACGTAAGCAAACTGCACTTCACTGCTCAGAAGATCCGCCTCCCGTGGCCATATTCACTGTGACTGACTGACTGACTCCTGTGGCCGCTACCTCGCTGGCAATGTACCTTCACAATGTCCAAAGAGCTTAGTAAAGAGAAAGGCATGTCACTTTCTCCCCATTCGCTCATATCAAAGTAGAATGCCTCTCTCAATATGGCAGATCTGCTGGTGATGGTACGCCATCTTTCACTGCTCTCAATTTCTCCATCATATTGCAAGTGATCCAACTCATGGAAAACCCTTTACTCCATGTACCACCTGCTTTAACATTTTAGTTTCACAACAAGCATCGATCTTTTCCCTAAACGGGATTAACCGGTTGGTCGTTGTTATGGAGGCGCAGTGTTTCCTTTGAAGCACGACCTCGGCTAAGAGATGGAGTTCGATTCCCGGCAAGGTCAACACATTTCTCTTCTCAACAACGTCTTGCCGTCTGTAGGGCCAACCCAGCTTCGTATCTAGTGAATATTGGGGGCTTCTTGACTGGGAGGCAAAGCGGCCGAGGCGTGAAGCTGGCCACCTACATCTAGGCCGAGGTTAAGAATACTACAATCTTTACTTCCATTCGAATTGTGCCCAAAAACGCTACCACAACAACAGCACATCGCCGTAACAGCTGTGGCTACCGTACATGCTGGCAAAGAGACAAGCATGCGTTCATAAGTGTGACATGCAGACCCACTGGCAAACAACACCTGTGTACACAGGCGACAGTACAGCAACCGTTTCTAGGGAACGGCTCTGTGAACACTTTGCATCCCCGGCAACAAGAGAACACAAAATAATGGAAACGACGTTTTATGTGCGGTCCGTGACGGGGCTGTATAACGAGGACTTGTCGCTTATAGGACAAGACGAAGCCAGACACAGAAAATATAAGAGGCTTAAACTTGGCGGTGGCCAAGCTTACAACCGTTCAAGTGACTAAGCTGCCGTTGTAGCATTAGATAAGTAAGACAGACATGATACGCTTTGCAAAGCCTGGACTGACAGAGGATGTTACATAAGGACTATGACCGCAACGGTTCAGTTGCAAAAAGAAATCTGTGGTCGTGAGTCTCAAGGAGCTTGACGCCAAGACGAACTGATTGGCGGGAAACCGCAAGTCGTAAAGTAACTCTGACTTTGACTGAGAGTTGCAGTTGTGGGAAGCGAGAAGCTGGTAGCTGAGTCCGCAGACAGTTCGGGAACCCAGAGAAAAGGGGAACAACCGCCGTTGGAAGCCGCTACCAAGCAACGGCAAGTGAAGACTGAGAAGGATTTATGTGTGCTGCAGTTACGTGATCTTTGGAGCGTGTAACTCAGTGTGACTGTCGTATTTATTTGTAGTTAATTTTTGTAAGTGTCCAATAAATCCAGTTACTAGTCCAAGCCCCGTCTATAGTTACACAATCACGTGACAATGTCTTTGGGTGCTCTCTATTAGGTCCGCGGTAGGGAACATTAATTAAATACCCTCCGTCGGATAGTGAGCACAGTCTATCGCTGTATTCATTCGTATATTCTGCGTTTAAACCGCTATACGACTGTAAGCTTCACACTGGAGTGCATGGACCTCCGTCCACACAGTCAGAGGTGACGGAGTTGTAAGTTCTTGTCTGAGTCGTTGTGTTGCGTCGTGTGCATTGTGTTGCAACGCTGTGCGTATCTGAACAACATGGCGTCGAATTGTAATAGAAAGAACTTCAAAGGAAGAGGCCATGGCCGATTAGTAGTACTATCCCAGTAGTTGCCTGGAGGGTCTGAGGAAGACCAGTAAAGATCTGTCACAACAACAGGCGTCCCGGCCGGGGTTCGAACCGAACACATCCTGAATATGATTCCCTCCGATATTTGAGTAAGCTTGTACCGGAATTCACGGTGCCCCATCCAGTACCCACATCATGCTGCCGGTTATGATACCATACAGTGTTTTGGGTTGATGCCGACATTTCGGTCGGGCATGTTGCTCCCATCTTCAGGATGAGGAAACAGTTCCCATTGCCCCGGAACTGGTTTTATTTCCGTGCCCCCACCCCCTTCTTGCAGCCCGCTTCTTCAGCAAAGGAGGCCATGCGTCATGAAGTTCCAAAGTTTGCAGAGGCCGACTACATGTGGGCTGTCTGTGGGCCCGATGTGGGAACATACGGGCCTGCCCTACTTGCGCTCTCTGCCCCGTCTCCTGGGTGTCGAGGCGACGACGGGGGTAGGAACAACAGGTGAAGCTATCCCTGTAACAGGCCGTGGAGTCCCATAGGGTTGTGAGACGTCGAGGCTCCCACGTTTTCTAGACAGTCGGATCACAGATGGTTGTGAGGTTGTTAGCCTTAGCACCGACCGCTCTTTATCCCGGGAATATTCCTGGTACTCATTTCTGTCAGAGGCTGGGTCGACCCCAGGGCCATAGTGCGGCTGGAAGGGTTAGGCCAATTGAAAAATCCAATGACCTTATAAAGAATCGAACCTACGACCTTCCGACTTGTAGATGAAATGAAAATTGTCTTACTACACGTGACCATTTGGTCAGGAGTTCAAACACAGCTCGACACCAGGGTTCCCCCTACACACTTGTGCCCTGAAGCGAGTAACATGGATTTAGTTGCCAGGAGACACTCACCTGAGGTTCTGTCACCTGTGACTATGGAGACTATTGTCTTGTGGGATATAATGGCGAGTAGTGTGCTCAAAGTCAACCGACGATTCGGAGGAACATATCGCCTCCATCTTCAGGGTCGAAGAATAATCCGGGCAAGATATCAGAGTAGGAGTAGGAATTCCGGCTAGTGAATTGCTCTGATTGCCATTTGCTGTGAGACTGTATGCTGAAGTGTGATATCTCTGCGGCTCATGAGCTTTGACCGCCGCCTACCTGTTTCCAGGTGCCGTGGGCTGGCTGCCGCGCTTCGAGAGTGCTCGGAACTCGTCGTGCACGCTCGGAACTGAGAGCATGGAGCCGAACAACACCAACATTTGCGTACAGTAATTATCATTGGTAATCGTTTTGAAAAGCTGATTGGTCTCCACCTGCTCACCGTGCCAACCCTTCAGGGTACAGTCTTCCCCGAAACGGAACGATAATTGTATTCTTGTACAGTCACTTCCAAACACAATGGAGGAGACGCCGTCAGCAGCTGGACTGCAAAGCGTCGAAAGGTAGGACGTTATACAAATCTGGAGTGGGAGAGGAGCCGCAAGGAAGCGGCGTTTGCCTTAGGCAGACTGACGAAAACAACGAAAAGCCTTAGTCAGTATAGCCAGTACTCTTGGACGAGACTTGAGGAACGTGCTGGCTCCATCTTGTAGGCAGAACACTACTCTTCTACCATGAAGATGGAGGCACTAATTTTTTCCGAAACTTCGTTACTCTTCTACCAAACTGCAGAATCCAGCAGCCTTCACGTTCACCGCCATGACAACCTGTATTGTCTTTGGGGAGGAGAATCTGCCCAGCGGCTGCAGGTGCGAAATACTTGCAGTCTAGACACTCCAGGTTATTTTGTTGCTCAGTTTCCTGTTCTGAAAATGGAAGCAGAAATTTGCTCCGAAACATTGGTACCTAACGATAGAGGCAAAAGACTACACCGAAACATTGGCATCTGAAGACGAAGACTGCTGGTTCCTATCTACCAGACTACACGACGTCAGGTCCCAGAAGACAGAGATCCTGTTTTGCCCATACGCCTGGTGGCTATGCAATCCTCAATCCATCCAGGGAGCACTCGCCGAGCGGTCAGTGTCTCTGGTACAGACACACCTCTCGGCGTGCCCCTGTATTGTGGGCGTCTGAAGCCGGGTCCACGCATGCGCATGCTGTTGTGACGTAACAGGGCTTCGACTTGCACATTCGTGATCTGTCAAATGTTCGTAGTTAATGTGATCTTGCAGGTAGCTGGCCCAGCTTTTGTGTTCATACACCACATCGTGTGAAAAAAACAAGAAGCGGACAGTTGAGTCGAAGCAGACCCGTGCATGGCGGTGCGCTCGAGACTGCAAGAAATGAGTTGCCAACACAAAAACTTCTACCCGCGCGGTATTACACCAAGTCAGTCTGTCCAGTCTGCAACCGGACAGCCTTCGCCGGTTCAGTGCGTCTGTTCTAGCCGTTGGAATGTGTTGGTCTCGGCTCTGTACAGGTCTGAGAATGCTAACTAATTCACTCCGCAAAGAGGAACAGTTCTGAAGTGGCGAACGCGCGCGGAAGCACGTAACGCACCTTCGGAAAACCGGCGGCGTTCCGAACCGAACAAGTGCGAAGAACGTGCACAACTTGCTGCATTGCTCTGTTACGTTACGGCAGAATGCGCATGCGTGTATCCGGTTTGAGTTATGACACCTGGAGGCAACAGGATTCCCCCCCCCCCCCCCAAAGGGGG